ATTTACTACTGAAAATATCAACGAGATGTTTATTTATATTTGAAGACATATTAAAGGCTTTAACGCTTGTTTTCGACTCGCACTACTATTCATGATTGAACAAAACTTTTGGCAGGTACTGTATGAAAAAGTATGTTTAATGAACAAGAGTCGAGAGTATAATGAGTTTTTTTCTCCCTACTTACGATTTTGCCAGTGCGCATCCAAGACATTGGAAGGGGCACATCGCTGGAGACAGTAAATGAAGTATATCTAGTATTTTGAAATCATTATAGAGATAATGCTTTCTTTATTGAGTTACACATACTTACATTGATTTGAAGTAGTTACAAATATATTTATATTGACTACCACTATAACTATTTCAAATGGTAAATTGGTTTAAATAAAATACTACATACTTGTATTTGGCTTAACCAACGGGGCGGATTATGTTTAAACAAAATTTAACGGTGGTAAATAGTCTTATTCACCATTCAGCTGTAAATCGGAATTATAATTTTTTATTTTATTATTTCAATACATTTAATCCTAAGTTTTTACTTAAAATGTGTACAATTTAAGTATAATATTTATTGAAGTTATTGTTTTTTAATAAGTAAGAGATGATTCTCATAATTAGAATTTTGTTTTTTATTTTCGAAACTTTTACAATGCTGAAATCTAGGGTTACTGAACACATTAAAGGTTTCGAAAATAAAAACAAAATTCGAATTATGGTAATCATTTATAACCTGGTAGAAAACTATAAGATTATAAATGTTAAGTAGCTATAAAATAAAAAATTAAAATTCTATTTTATCACTAGATTATAAAATAGACTTGAGCAATTCGCCGCTGATTTTAAGCAGTATTTTATATGGTTACTATATATTTGTGAAAGGTTTATTTGATTATTATTTAAAGATGTGTGGACACACAAACATTTTGGATGAATTAAGTACCTTGATTAAAATACCCGAATTGTTTTGTTTAATCGTCTTATTCGTTTCGCATATCATTCAAAAGGGCAAGTTATAAAAAACTAACTAATAATTCGGCTTAATTTGATGTACAAATATCTTCAGAAATTTTACCAGAAATGTATGCCAAAAAAATTTACAAAAACTTAGTGTAATTGTTTTTTACTACACAATTTAATCAGAATGATATGAATCCATGATGTCAGAATGGTATGCGCATGATGGTAGAATGGGAAGACAATTACTTAGTCCGAGTTGGTTAACTTATTGGTATAGAAGGCGTTTAAGAAGATTTTAAACACGTATTAGATTTATGTTTAAATAGATTACACTTTATCAAGTGATTTTCATTTGCTTTTTTTATATTTTCTGTAATATATGTTGATGTGTAATAAGCAAGTTGGTGAGTTAAAAAAAGTGTGTGTTCTACCACCCGTTTACAAAAACTTGATATGATGCACTTATTGTCACCTTCAGACTCGACCTCCAAGTTTTCTTTGTTAATCGATATTACTGGAACAAGAAATCCTATCATCAGCTCCATATCTAACACTGGGTAAGTCTATACATAATTCTGAATATTTTTAGCATACGGTTTTATTGTCTACTTACTTATACAGACCTCAAATATAATATAACTTTTAATTGTAAAAACATGGAGTCAATGGTATATTTAACTGGAATTCAAAAGAAGCCTTAATAATTTTTACTAAATATAACAACAAAATCGTTTACTTTTTCTGATGTACATACTTTCATGAAATAAAACAAAAGTTCCAATCAAACACGAAGTTACTTTTTATGTTATAAAAAATCCCATTGTATACTTATTTAATTTAAGAAATTGGTTAACTACATCATTTCTGGGATATTTTGGATGTTTATGTAACAAAAGTAAATGAAAATTATAAAATGTGTTTCGGAATTAATTTCAATCGCAAATATGTATGAATTTGAAATTGTTTGTATAAATACCTGTTGTTTTTCAACAAACTTATGTTACTTTTAGGAATAGTAGGAATTATTAAAATAATTCAAAGACGATTACTACCTAAATGTTATACAATCTACCTGCGATTATTTTAAAAAAAAACAAATTATTAATTGAATCTAATTTCGTTAATATCCAAAATTCAAAATGTGAAAAATGACTCTAACCTCACCAATTAACCAACGAAGTGTTCTATATTTGAATTTTCATTATTATAATAGCGACGTTTCGACTGTCTATTTCAGTCATTTTCAAGCTCGAATTTCTATCATTGCTTACATCTAAGGTCGACTAGTATCACTAGTGATAGAAATTCTAGCTTGAAGATGACTGAAATACACAGTCGAAACGTCGCTTTTATAATAAACAAAGTTCAAATATAGAACACATCGTTGGTTAATTGGCGAAATTAGTAATTTTTCACATTTTGAAAAAAACAAATGTTTTTATCAAATACCAACGTCATATCTATAGTTTCAATAAGATTTTAACACCTTTGATTAATATTGTTTCAAAAAATGATTTATAAAATGCATCTACAACGAGAAAAACAGACGAATACGTACACAAACAAATAGATGTTCTACTTATTTTTGGTTTCTATGTTGCCAATTGAATAAACTTTCGGGGTCATCATGATTAATTAATATTTACATTTTAAGCTTTTTGTTAAATTAAAAGGTAATGTTATTTGGCAAATTTATATTTTGCGTCTTTCGTATACTTACCTACTGTAAAACACTTGGACAAAATTCAAATGCTGGTTGTTGTTAGGTCATTTCTGTTTGCAGGTTATTATAAAAAGAAAAAATTGGTAACTTTGCCAAACCAAACATAAAAGCAACGTTGTACCTAATTACAATCGTCTGTAACAGCTAGAATAATAATTTCATTTGTGAAATGTTTAAGGAAGGAATTTTCATTATATTTTCGAGCGATTAAGATTTTGCTTAATTCAGTTTATTTGTTAGTTTGTCATTATGTGGGTCTGGGTCATATCAAAAAGGACCTAAACGATCTGTGAGTAGCATGGAACAGCCGCGAAAGTATAATATAATAATAATGACCACATACAACAAAATCTTCTATTGCCGGGAACAGTATTTTTTCTTTATAAAAGGCACCCTATGTCCTTTCCTGTACCCCTGTGTTTCATGATAGAATTTACCTGCGCTTTTGCTCACAATGATGCCCTAAGTACGCGTCAAAACATCATTGACGACCACATAAAACTAATTCTTGTATCCCCCGGGAACAGTATTTTTCTGGATACAAGGCACCCTATATCCTTTATTGTACCCTTGACAATACGTGTACAAAATGTCATGCTTATCGGTTAAATAGTTAAGGCGTCAAATGGTAACAAACTAACAAACTCACATTTGCATTTATAACATTAATTACGATTAGGATGCCACAAAAATACATGATTAGTAATTCTGCCTTTCCCGACTTAAACACTCAAAAACGAAGTGTAATACCCTCATAATGTGTCATTTAATAGACTAAATAAGTCCGGAAATGTAATCTACTTATTAGCTTCGATATTGCTCGACCATTTCAGTGATGTTTGGATGAAAGCACAAAATTTAATTCGAATTATCGTTCCAGGATGAGCAATAAAAGTTCATCAGCCTATAATTCTACCAGTAAAACTATCCAGGGACTCCAACTAATTACCGTCCCTGCCCAACACTCAATTACGTGGTAATTTAAGAATAAATTAAGGGCGAGTTACACTTAAACAAGATTATTTGCAACTGTATACCTAGTCGATGAGCTCGGCAAGATATTTCAACGAATAGGGATAAATTTTATGGTAACAAATTCGCTTGTAGTAAAGCAGGGAGAAGATATAAAGGGTGAAAGTGCTGTACCTGTTGTTTTAGATAATGCGATAGAGTTAGTGTTCAAAAAAATAACAAAAGAAGAAATCATTTGGTGACCTATCATTTTATTGTCAGAAATTATGAAAAAAAAACTAAAATTATGACAAAAGATCCAAAAGTAAGAAGAAATTTTTCGAGGAAAATAACAGATAACCACTTAATGAATTTATAAATCATTCTGTGGAGAATTTACCTGAAAATATACAGTTTAGTGTTTACCTACCATGTTGTTGAGGTGTTGGTGTTTGAACTGGTTTCGTTAAAACCAGTGTAGGTCCAGTTTCATTTTCTCCACCCCAGTTCCCGTAAGACGTAGATTTCTCGAGCAGTCTTTGCCTTGCATGTTTTTCTATAACATCTGCACAAAGGTATCTTCCACAAAACCTGGCCCATTGGTCGGCTCTAAAGCCTCTGCCGTGGTCTCTTAGCGTTGGATTTGCACCTGAAAGTAAAATTGTAAATAAAACCTAACCTTAATTATAATAAAACAAACCTAACCTAACCCCATCTTAATTATAGTAAAAATTTACCATACAATAATTTCTCCAAAACTGATGAGTAAAATTTACCTATTCCTTTTCTTAATTCTCTGACAACTTTAGAAATGATTATGTATGTAATGCATGGAAAATTTTACGTTTATTAAGATAGGAGTGCGGTACGATTGGCCACATACGTGACTAAAACGCGTGCCACATGGTTGCATGTATTAACATAGTGGTACGTATTTGTAAATGGTAGCTACCATAAATTTTCGGTGGCATATGTTTTTGGTGGGTAAGTCGGTGAATGTTCCACCGCAATAATTTCAACATATCAGAGCCTCAGTGCCACGTTGTGAATATTTGTATGGTGGTGTATGCAGATAAAGGTCTTGTACCCAAAACAAATTTTGTTAAAAGTTCTTCGATTATTTATCGGCTTTTTCTATATTGTTGCCGAACATTCTTGATAGTTTTTCATTTTTCTGGAGAACTCTCGAAATTTTTTTGTTACGCATTCAGCGTATGAGCCTGAGTGGCTCTTATAATGAATACAGTCCAGAAAAAGTTTTACTATCTGCTGTATTACGCTGTGTTTTTTAATTTAGTTTATAAGAAGATATTGCCCAGCGCATCCACAATATTTTATTCATTTGTACTGATTGTTTTAGCTCATAATAAATCTCACAAGGTTGCAAGTTTGAAGTCTAATGATTGGACTCTTTTTTCCAGTATGGATAGCTGCTGTTTTAATTAGTAAATTAATTTCAGGTAGTTGAAACAAGGAAACCATTATTTGATGTGTCTTAGACAGATGGTTCTATCTTTTCTTATTATTCCACACAGTTACTTTTAAGTACGTACCTATAATGATCGATTTATGCCGTCACGGAACATTCTGTTCAATTAAACGAGATTGTGCTACAGTAAAGATAATGTTGACATAGTTTGGAGTCATAAAACCGGCAACGATGTTCACATTGTCTAAATAAATCCCATTTTACTACGTTCGTCATGTTTCTCAGTTCCCTGATTTAGAATCTTAATAAAATCCAACAAATTTCCAACGGTAGATCGAAAAAGTGCCGGATCAAGTGCTTTGTTTAATAGCCCGGAAGTTCACGTTTAAATGTCAACCGAACATTCGCAATTGTAATCGATCCAATAAAGACCTGCTTTCAGGTAATAAAAACTGAATTTAGTCCAAACAAATATTTATAGGTATAGGTAGCAGTTACTAGGAAATGTTTCTCCATTATAGCTTGAGAACATAAAATTTTATTAAATGAAATGCATGTGTTGAATGTTTTTGTAATACATTTGGCAAGAAGGCGCCTGCTGCCTAACACTTAAAAAGTTGTTACAGTTAAGTCTGTTCTCATTAACTATCTTAAATGCACATTATGCAACTAGATAAATAAAATGTAGCTGCAGTATTTACTACAAACTCCGTCAACTGATATTTGTAAACGCTATCTGATCAAAAAACCTAAGTAAATTAATATCCATATATTTAAATGGACCTTGTTGGAGCACACGTAATCCTAAAATGCAGCATTGTACTACAGATGGCGTTTACCGCGCCATTTGTGGTATTTTCTAAAACGCGCTGTTAAGACAGCAGGTAAAAGTTGGTCTGTGTTCTGTCGGAGCTGCCTGCGACGCGCTGATGAGATCCAAAAAGATCGAAATCGCGATCCGCTTCTGGCAGTTTGTTTCGAGAAAATACAGACCACTTCGAATTATTTTATTCGATTATGGTAACGTGCCTATCACGTTGAAGTTAGCTACGCCGGAATTCGTTTTAGCAAGTAAATATCCTTATATTTAAATGGACCTTGTTGGAGCATACGTAATCCTAAAATGTAGCATCGTACTACAGATGGCGTTTACCGCGCCATTTGTGGTATTTTCTAGGTAAATTAACGTCATTACTAAATCTTGAGGCATGTTTAATCTACAAGAACCAATGCATTGATGGTATTTATAGGTATTAGAAGAAACCTGATCATTGACACTTATTTCTTTATTATTCTTCAAGGGAATTATCCCTATCAAAATAATAAAAAGAGAAAGCTGACGTGTTACATTTTATTGAAAACAAAGATGTCCATGTGTTGCTCCATTTGACAGATTTGATGACGGTGTAAAGTGAATTGGAGAAAGGGTGCGAATGTTTTTGACAGCTTATAGCTACTGCCAAAAGGACGTCGAAAAGGGACGCGTGTTTTTCTGGTTATATTGCCAGACGCCGAAGGTAAACAACACAAAATTTAAGCATCTTTCCAAAAGTCATTATAAAAGCAAGTAAATATTTATTAAGATAGGAATTTCCATGCTGACGAGTTGCATCAGATTTGCCGTTAATATTAGACATGTAATTGCTTCTCTATCTCGCTCACAACCAGTCGGTTTTCTTTTAAATTTGTAATTTAAAAGACCGGCCTTCAATATATGTAGAGATAGTTTAGAATCTCGAGGGGCGTGACCTTCGGTGGCCGTCGAGTAGTGTCGCGCATTTTGCGACCCAAGGCATTTTAAAGCACCTCTACCATTTGCCACAATAATACAAATGCTTTAGAGGTACGAAACTTTATTAGAAATGTAGGGTAGGTATATACCTGAAAGTAAAAGTAACTTGGCACATCTACTTCGTCCTTGCAGAGCGGCTTTCATTAAAGGTGTGAAACCTAAATTGTTTCTTGCATCGATCTCAATTACCTTTTTACATCGGGTAAGTAGGACGTTCATACATTCCGTTTGACCTGGAACAAAATCAAAGTGTTAACACAAATAAAATGATTTAATGCGCACCTCTGTATGGAGTTATGTACGTATGCAAAGAATTGGAAAGCGATAAACAAATTTACTCCCTCGTAGAATAAAGAACACAGAGACTTTAACGAAAAGTTTACTTTAATCATCAAGTAGGTACTCGGCTTGCGCTATATCCAGCCATTGATTTTCCATATTAAGTTTATCCATTGGACAGAGTTGCCATGTGATAAAGAAGAATCCGCCTTACGTTAAGGTTTCTTTTTATGAAAATTTAATACAGTCTCATTTGAAAAATAACACTTTTAAATTGTAAATTGTAGTAGTTTGAATGGAATTTATCTAATCAAGTAAAATCAAAATATTTTACTTTCATTTTTATTGAGTACCTTTTTCTCATTTACGATTATTTGCAGTCCATTTGGAAGATGTTTTGAGTGAAGTTGATGATTTCTAATTTATAAACTATTCACTTTGGAAAAAGGGTCTCGCTGAATATTTAAGTAAAACCGACGACTGTTAACATCAACTGATGCTCGTCTTTTACCTTTCGGTTTTTGTGGTTTTCCAATTTTTCAATTATGAATGAACTAAAATCCAATAACAAGAAAATCCCGCGATTTGGATATCTTTCATGCACCAAGAAGGTTGAACTTCTGAATTATTCAAATAAATCTTCGAATATAAAGGATAAATAGAGAATAGGAATAAGGAATTGGCAAAACGGTACATTTCTTAATAAAAGAAATCATATGCCGAAAGTTTATTTTATTAGACTACTCCTTTCGATTTTTTTTTATATTCTTATCACATTCAACTCTTCTCCATCCTTTAATATCTTCTTTGTATTCCAGCATTCCTCATTCCACTATTCCCCCTCCACTGGAGATATATTTGAAGTGAGCACTTTTTATTGGCACCTGGGTTTTACCCATAGCTTCACTCGGATTGATGTTTTTTTTTTAGTAATTTTCATATAAAAGCATTTAAAAATTGAAAATATTATTGAGGTTATTGTTCCTGCATATCGTAATCGTATGATATGCCGAGCGATCACATAAAACTAATTTTTTTGTCCCTCAGGAACAATATTTTTTTCTGGATAAAAGTACTTTATGTCCTTTTCTATACCACTGGTAATGTACGTACAGAATTTCATGATGATTGGTTGACTGTTGCAGGCATGAAATCGTAACAAACAAACTCTCATTCGCTTTTATAATATTAGAGGAATTATATTATTTTCAACAAGGAGATCGTTAAATATAGGTGGGTACCTTTCACTATACAGCACGAGTTTGTAAAAAAATTGGATAAACAAAACAAACATGTCCAAACTAAATACCGTTTGGATCACGCTGACCAGTAAATCATTCGCTGGATCAACTCCAAGTGCCACGTAGATTGGAAGAATAACGACTAGTAACTATTAAATATGTACCTATATTTTACTAGTTTACAACATTGTCGATTACATAAGGATTCTACTCTAGAACCATGTATTTCCTTTTATTTTTAATGAGATCATTTCATCAATTCATTTATTTATTTTATATTTATGGCATTAAAGAATTTCGTATGATTATGACGAAAGAAATCGCGATATGTCATAATGGAAAGCATATGCCATTGGATTATAAATTATGCACCTCGTGCCTATGCTAAAATAATTCCCGTAAAATAATAAATGTAACAGAGTGCAGATTATTACTAATCATTACGTACAATTGACTTGTCTACGTATCAGCTGTTGCGAAGGTCCCGAATAGGTACGTGTGTTTCGTCAGTTGACGCTTACGATAACGAAAAGCGATATGTTAACATGGCAACTGTTTTCAATTATTGACGGCTCGTTAACTGGGGTGCATACGTGTTACATCCCCTACGTTGTGGTGCTATCACGAGATGCATTCCACAGTGCCTCCAGATATTATCTTTCAAATATATTTTAACGATGCGAATAAAATAGTTTATCAAGAAGAAATAAACTTGCACTTACGTACCAGCTTGCGCAGCGAAATGTAATGGCGTATTACCCTCGTTGTCTGGCTGATTGGGATTCAATCCGGGCAATTGAAGGATTTGTTGCAATAAATCCACTGGACCATTGGAGACGATATAACTCAGAGCAGTCTGAAAATAAACGTTCATTTATAGCACCTCAGTTTACAGTAGGCCAAACATTGAAATTCTCAATTGCTTTAAAATTTATAACCCTATGAAATACGTAACAGGATAACCAACGAAGAATTACCCTGCTCCGGTATGCAATACATAATAAATCAACGAAGCGATAGGCAGTATGTAAATTTTTTTTTAATTTTCGGCAAAGAAACGCCTAATGTTTAGTCACAATATTATTATATTATACAGGCTTTCCGGATACAATTTGTTCCCGTATGGGTATTTTGTGGTTCTAGCAGTTGGATTTTCCGATTTGTGAAAAACACAATGGGTTTCGCATTTTCCGCTTACAACTTCATGGATTACAATTTTCCGAAGTCGAAGGACAATTATTATTAACACGTAAAATTAGATACCAACCCTTACGCATCGAAACATGTTCTTGTTTTTATTACGTCAAAGAGGATTAAGATACTGTACCCACATATAATTATCAACAACAATTCCGTGGGTAAGTAGATACATATGTACACCGGTACGAACGAGCAAGGGTGAGATTTTCAGGTCACTAAAGTTCACAGGTTAAAAGCATCTCCCCATTCGACGTTCGATATCTAGCCGTTCACACCCAGCGTAAGCTTTTAACGCAAAACAACTTAATTAAATTCACATTTACCGGATGCACTTTGTCAAACTATTATTAACAACACTGCATATTGTAATTTAGGAATGTTTATAAGTCTATATTCATACGAAGTTACACATGTGTCCATAACCACGATGAAATGGATAATTAACTATCGAAATTGAAGGATGTAGTATATGAACATTTATGAATGTTATGCAATATTCAAATGAAAAATGGATTCTCGCCTAAGTGCGAAGTTGGCCACGGGATTAAAACAAATATTGTTTAAATCAAACGCAACTGTTTGTAATACCAAATGTAAAGCTTTGCTGGAGGAAAACGAGGACCTATCGATCGCGGTTTCTAGAACCTTTGATGTCGCGGAAACTGTCCACTATAAAGAGCAGATGCTCCCTGCAACAACAAAGCGAACAGTAGGTCTTAAAAGTAACTTGCATGTGCATTCTTCAACAGCGTACATTCAGTTACAATGTTAATATGTACTAGACACATTCTGATCGTTATTGAACATACACATATATTATGTGTCAATAGCCCTTATGGGTCCTACAGCCCTTACGGCCCAATCAATGTTCCTTCGTGAATGTATCTGATGAAAACAGAAAGAAATATCTCGACGCACTTATTGATTGCGTGTTGAAGAATGCACGTACATGTACGTATTAAAAGTCATTTATGTTGAACAATGCACGCTCTTATTGGTTGAATCAACGCATGTTGATTTATTTAACAGAAAAATATCCCGACACTATACAGTCAGCAATGAAACGTTATTTAGCATGCACACCAACACTTATTGAATACGCATTGAAGAATGCTCGTTGATGAATGCACGTTGAAGAATGCACGTAGAGAATGCACGTTGATGAATGCACGTTAAAGAATGCACGTTGAAAAATGCAAGGTTTTTGTATTAAGTCATTTACACCTGTGTATATGATTCTTTAAGTTACAGAAATTTATGCTGGTAAGATGAATTACAGAAAGCATTTAAACAAAAAAAAATAAACAAAATATTTAGCAACAATATTACCAACACAAAACCTATTAGAATAGATACCCTGATTATGGATAATCACTGAACATTATTTCAAAATTGTACTCACTTTTGAATATCAATTTTACAAGAAGTAGGTAGATACTATACATAATACAATTTAGGACACAAATGATGACTTTCTTTGATTGGATATGCACTAAAGGCTTTCTTCTTTAAACCTATCTCGCTCTAACATTGATTATGGATATAATGAAACATAATATGATAACGTCGATGGTGCCATATTTTGAAAAGCTAAACAATGCTGCCCTTCAAGGCGCGTCGCTTGAGATTTAGAAAGAGGCGCCAAGGGTGGTATGACCGACGCTGACGCTGTGTCCATTAAGTATTCCATTTAATGAGAATTCAATATTTCTGTGGTCTTAGTAACTCGTGCTAGTTTATTTGATGAACACAACATTAATACTTGTTGAATATATGGATCACGTTCAGTCCTTCAGAAATCGAAAATAATAGAATCCAAACACGGAAAATTCGTTTTCAATTAATCAGTTTGTAATTTTTGAAATGGGCCTTGAACTTATGAGAGACACTAAAATACGAAAATGTACCTACGAAACAACGTAACACAAACTAATGGTATTTTCTTACCACAAAAAAAATAAATTAGTTATATTCATCGTTGGTTAGTTCAGCGGCTTATAGAAATTGTCACTAGCTAATAAACAATATAAAACGATGATTAAAAGGTGCTACCCTAAGGGGCATAGCTGTAAAATGTAGCCATTTGTCTGAGATCTATTGACGATTTACAATCGATTTAAAAAGTAATTTTTTAGATGATTGCGATTTATTGATTTCAAAACACAATTCCTAGTTAAATAGAAGGGATTCAACTAAACATCTGTAGATTTTATGGTACAGAATTTTATTCTATCTTGTCCGTTTTTGAAAAGTTGAAAGTTCACAAACCCTTTCAGAAATAATTCCCTTTGAGATATGTTAAAAGCTTATCGCTTTGACGTAGTGAAACCCTTGCGGAAATATTCAAAATTCTACAGTAATCCCATGACAACTTAAAGTGTGGTGATATAATACAAACGTACATACAGGGATGGGTAGTAATAACATTATAAGAAGTAAAATATTCAGGCCAGGGATGAATACAGGATTTTGTGAGAAAAGGGACTAAGAAAGAATACATTTATTGATGAACTGCTTCTTTATTGAAAGGTATATAGTAGGGTGCTTCAAACAAAATTTTTAATTTTTTTTTCTAACTCTTACCCCCTCAAATGTTTCTATTTGATGTAAAAAAAATCCTCGCCAAACATGAGCCCTATAGCTCAAATCTAGGGGGTCGCTATTTTTATTTTAGTTTCCCATTTAATTAACATATTAGGTATTATATTGTATTGTATTGTACTGAGAACCATTTTTGAAATTTGTGAAAATACAATACTGACTAATAGTTTGATTAAAAATTTTGAGGATTATGCAAAAAAAATAATTGCAAGCTATTTTTTCAAATTTCAAAATTTAGTAATTTTTAAATGGCTGTAACTAGTCTTTTTGTAAAGATAATCATACTTTGTCTTAGAGTTTTGTAAAGCTCAAAGACTCAACTTTGAGAATATGAAACGGTTTTTTGGAAAAAATTGCGTAAATTATGTGTAAATTCAATTTAAAACAAAAAAGAATTTTTCCTATGTTAATTAAATGGGAAACTAAAATAAAAATAGCGACCCCTTAGATTTGAGCTATAGGGCTCATGTTTGGCGAGGATTTTTTTTACATCAAATAGAAACATTTGAGGGGGTAAGAGTTAGAAAAAAAATTAAAAATTTTGTTTGAAGCACCCTATTATATAGTCAACACAAAGTTAGCAAAATTTCAAAAGTAGTTTAAAAAAATACATGTACAAACCCAAACAGAAAAAACCTAGTACATAAAATATTCTTCACCTATCCTACTAAGACTACACTTTTCATTACAGAAAGTATATTTCACGTTCCCTCGTTTCATTTAGCCCCCCTTTGTTAACGAAATATATCGTTCATTTATTTAATGTGAATTCGTTATCTATGACCGATTGGACACGCACCTATACTTCATATCGTAAGTCAATTGCAAACAGTAATCTAATCTAAATCTACCCTGCCCCTCTTAATTCCTGTTTCTGCTTCTAATATGTCTACAGCCATTCATATTTTAGAAAGTGTCTACCAACTTATCTGGTTTATTTTTTACTGACTTCCACTTCTCGCTTTGTTCTCTTCATTTCTAACAAAACGGAAATTTAGGAAAGTGTGCAAAGTAGTTCTTATCGTAAATGCTTTTACCGTTTATTAAAATATGTCAAAATTAATGCCTACACCAACGGATTTCCAGTGAAAAACTTAAAGCCAACAGCACATAATTTATGTTCATTTCTAATTGCTGTTAAAGATCTGAACACTTTCAGTTATGTACCTATTATATATTTTTTTGTTAATACGACCGTGTTTTCATTTAGGAGTATAAAAAAAGCATTTATCCTTATTTGGTGACAAAGGAATGTGACATTTCCGTTTGTATACTGGACAGTTTTTCACATAGATTTAATAAGCAGTCATTTATTTTCGGGCAGGTTTTTCTTTACTTGGACTGTTTTATTGATCGTGGCACGCACAAATTCCAACGAAATATGTTCCCTCTGTTACGATTATTACCAGAGCTGAATAGGTAGCATTCGTTTGGACATCACAGGAAAGGTCACAACATTCAGAGCAAATGAATCATGAAGCCCCTTTACAAAATCTATCAAATGTGCGCTTTTCTATTAAAAAGTCTTTTTAAATGCAATTCCATTATAATGAATAAGAACTTTTAATGGTAGCAAGAGATAGGTACGTACTTCTTATTCGTTTGCTACAAAGTATCGGAATACTAGTCCGAAGTTGTCTAGTTTTTGGAACGAAAAAGTCACCAGACAGCTCCATCTATACTTGTATCTCAGTTATTAAACATAAAAGCTGTCTGGGTCTCTTAGAAAAAGATACCAAAATTCATCCAAAATGAGACTTCGTTTACCTTTCGACTATTAAGCCTCCCACTTCACAAAATTCCTGACTACAGGCCTGGGAGTTTCCGACAAATAGTAAAATAAGAACCACAGCCCAACTAATGAAATCTTAATTGTATCCATTCACTAAGAAGCAATCTCTTCCAAATACAATCCAACGACCTATTATTAGCCAGGCTTACTTGTTCTCGAAGAAAGAAAATTTTCTAACACTATCAGTTACACCGAGTTACTCCTGGAACGATATGCTGTTGTAGCAGTTGGTAACTCAAAACCGAGCTACTATATGATACGTG